AAATTAAAGAAGAATGCAGTGCAATAATATTACAAGATACTATCAAGTAGCAATCTCATATGCAAATAATACAATATAGATTGCAAACAGCAAAAGTCAACTATTGGAAATTTTAGAAATAGTTAAGAAGTTTTTTAAGATAAATGATATAAAAATAAATAGATCAAAATTAAAACTGCTAATAATAAATATGAACATCAAGAAAGAAAAAAGAGAAGTAGCTTTTGAAAAAAGCAGAATAATAAAAGAACTAAGAAACAAAATAGTTCATTTACTAGAAATATAGTTGAACAACAAAATGCAAGAAGTATTAGTTAAAAGAAAAACTAAAGAAATAATCAGTCAGATAATAAAAGATCTTAAATACAAAAAGATGACAATAAGCCAAATTACATATATAAACAATATAGTAATAATCTTAAAGCTAAGCTATATCTTTCAGCTAATTAAGATTTCAGAAAAAGGAATATATGAAATATATCAATCAATAATATGTTTAGCAAACCAGAAGAGCAATTTGCAAAGAATATTAGAAAATTGCATAGTAGAACATAAAGATCTAAAACATTACAACAAGAGCTAGTAATAAAGCAGGTAGGTGGCCTGCTAGAAAGATTAAACAAACAAGATAGCCTAGAACAGTTAATGAAACTAAGAATAACATAAGGCTATTAAAAAGTAGACTTGATAGAGAATATTTGGAAACTAAAAGAAATGCTAACTAACAATAAGTATTAGAAAAACAACTTAGCAGTAATAAAAGCAAGAAAGCAAGAAATAAATATAAAAACTGAAAATAATTATAAAGAATTTTTAGACATAATACTAGAATACAAAAGCTCTTAAAAACATATCTGTAGAAAAGAAACAGAACTGAAATAAATAAAACAGATCTAATATACTTAAATCAGCTACTTAACACAAAAGATAAAAGGTTAATTATATAGCAGCAGTTCAAAAATTAATATAAACAATCAAGTAAAGGCAAAAAAGCAGCATAGTTTAAAGAAATAGAGTTAAAGGTGCTTGAAAGAACATTAAACAAAACAAACAGATATAATATTTAAGTAATAAAAATAAAATAAAAGTTATATATTAAAAAATAAAATAAAAAAAGAATAAATAATATATGATGCACAAGACTATAGACAGCTAAAAAAGATAGTAAAAAAAAAAAAGATTTTATTAAAATATTAGTAAATACAAAGCAAAGAAAATAAATTAATAACAAAAATTAGCAGATGTGATAAGTGTACAAAAAAAAAGAACAGATAGAAAGCAGCTGCCAACAATAGATAAGAGTAAATAACAAGCTTAGAGTAATTCCTAATGTATTAATAGAAAAAAATAACAAAATTAAGTTAGCTATAGACTAATTAACAGAAAAAGTAAAAACAAAAAAGATGAAAAATAATGAGCAAAAACTTGAAGGACTAATAATGATAGAAAAGCTAGAAATAAAGATAATCAAGTAGCAAAAACTAAATAAAAATATTAACCAAGAAATACTAAAAATATTAAGAAAAAATTTAATAGGAGACAAGAACCAATATACAATATATACAGATGATGCAGCAAATGTAAAAATCAGAAAAAAATTGCTAGACCAGAACATGGGTATAGGATGGATCCAGATAAATGAAATGCAAGAATGGCTAGAAGAAAAAATATTATTAGAATTAAAAGAATAGATAACATCAACCATAGTAGAATTAGTAGTAATATGGATAGCAATTCTAATAATATTAAAAGAAAAACAAGTAAAAATATATACAAACAGTAATGCTGTAATAAAAAATATTAGTAGAAGTTTAAAGCAAATAAATAAAATAAAGATCCTTAAGAAGAAAAATACAATATAAATAATGAAGATTATAGATTTTATTAACATAAAGAAAATACAAATAGAATTAGTAAAAGTTAAAAGTTATAATAAGAACAAGTAAAATAACAAAGCTAATAGTCTTACAAAAAAAAAACAATAAGTAAAAAAGTAATACAGATAGAAAAAGTTAGTTGTAAAGAGATAAAATACTGTCTAAAGTAAAAAAACAAATGAATTGATATACTAGCAAGACTGTTATGCAAATTGATAATGAATGCAAAATTAAGAGCAGAATGAAAAGAAACAAAAGCAATCAGAAAGTTAGAATCAAAAACAGAAATCATAATTTATAACTGAACATAATTTTGAAAAAGGCTAAAAATAACTAAAAGAGTATAATATATAACAAGAAGAAGTAGTATAAAAAGATTTTATAAAATATATGATAAATAAACTTCCAATCTTAGAAGAACTTAATAGAAGAAGATCAGATATATACATAACAATAAAATATCAAGTATATTAAGATAAAGTTAAAGAAATACAATTACATTTGATATTATATAAGAAACAAACAAATCTTTAAAAATGAATCCAAAAAGTAATTATTACAACAGCCTAGAAAGGACTAAAAGAAGAAGAGATAACTCATATTTCTCTATATATACTATATACAGCACTTTTTGAAAAAGTAAAAGTAGAAGAAATAAAAATAAGAAAAGCTTTAATTAAAGGTCTAATTCCAAAAAAGATACAAGACAACAGTTTGCAAATATAGTAATAAAAACAGCATAAGACATATTCTATAAACAGATTTGGAGAATACAATATGAAAAAATTAATAAATAAGAGAAAAAAAAAAGTATAACAAACAAAATAAAAAAGAAAAAAGTAAAAAAACAGAACTTAAAATGAAAAGAAAAAGCAAATTAGCAAAAAATTGAAGAAAAAAAAATAAATAAAAGAGAAAAAAAAAATTAAAGAAGAAACTAGAAAAACAATTTTAGGACTTGTTATAAAAGAGTGAAGACTTTTTCATTATAAACTTTAAGTAGTTAGACAAGCAGCCTACTTCTGTTTGAAGTAGTGCAGCAGGTTACACTTAGGTTTTTTAGAGTAATCAGATAATGCTAAACTTAGTTGTTAGATAAATCTATGTAATTGCAAGAGTAATTTCAAGAATCTTAAAAAGTACTAATATGATTGCTTAAGTTAAAAAAAAATTATATATATAATTTTAAGTTATAAACAATTTTTAACAAAATAAATAATTATTTTAATTATATATTATTATATTTAATTTTATAATTTAAAAATAAGGTGTATATTTATTATTTTTTATATAACTTAAATAGTAAATTAAAATGTGTTACTAATAAAACGTTTATTTTTTAATTAATTTTTATTAAAATTTAATAATATATAGATTTAAATAAGTTATTTATTACATTAAATTTTTATAAGATGTTTAATTTAAAAATGTTATATTTATATATATCTTGAATTTTCTCTGAATGTCTTGTTTTTTTTCTGATTACACAAAAAAACCAACTTTAATTAGTTAATTTCTAAAAAACTATAAGATATTTTAATAATAAATTTTTATATTTAATTTTTAAAAATTTATATATTAATGAGTTTTAAACCAATTTTAATAATTTTACTACTATTAGAATTACAAAAATCTACTTCACAACTTTATTTAGAAGCTTAAAAAATATTTAATTAGTAAAATTTTTGCAATTAAAATTACAAAAAAAATATATCATCAAGTTTATATATAATTTTAAAACATTATATTCTACATTTAATTTGTCAATTAAAAAATACATTACAATATATATATGTTAAATTGAATTAAATATAGTATATATAGGTTACTCTTTTTAAAAAATATTAAAATTAGTTATTTTATATAATTATTTTATTGTATCTATACTATAATTAATATTTTAATTAATATTAAAAAACTAATTTAAATTTTTTTATTATAATATAAAGTAACTTATTTAAATATTTTTAAAGATTTTATTAAAAAATAAACTATACTACATTTAATCTGCTAAATTGTATAACCTACTAAAAATATTAATTATTAAAAAAAAATAAAAGCTATTAATATACTATATATAAATTAATTTAATTGTATACAATTTTAATTACTACTAAATTTTTTTAACTATTATATATTTTGTTTTTTTTAACACTATTATATATTTTGTTTTTTTTAACTTTATTTATTAAAACAAACCTATATAAAATTTTTTATTATAAAATAACTTTCCAATTAATTTTTTTTATTAATATACTTTATACTTTATATATTACCAAAATTAGTATATGCTTTGACTGTGTAATAATACGTATTGTTTACGCGAGAAATAACCATTATTAATGATAAATTAAATTTAATATAAATATTAAACAACTCTGAAAGGTAAATCATATATTTTAATTATAACTTAAATATTTAATGTTGTAATGCATTAATGTTAATTAATATACTGTATGTCGAGAATTAAAATGAAATAAACCATTTCTACTTGTTTATTATGAAATCTATGTACGTATTCCTAAATCCTAATCTTTAACCCTAAAAAAAAATGCACCCCCAAAAATTTGTACTTTTCGGTGTCTTATCTATTATATATACACTATTCCTTATTTTCATTTTAATCTATCGATTAACATATAGTATAATAGTATGTACGTACGTTGAATACGAAGCAACCAATAACAGATAATAAAATTTACGTGGATCAATATCGATATATAAAATCATTAATGTTTTTTTTTTTATGATTTTCGTAATTGTTTAATAATAAAGACGTAATTATTAAGCAAAATCGTTACTATAATAGTTTATTTGTGTTAACTTTATTCGTTAACTCTAACAGACTTTTTTTTTTGTTTATTTCATAAAAAAGAAAAAGCAGATAAGTCATTAAAAATTGACTATTAAACTTTTCTAACAAAAAAAAAAAAAAAAAAAAAAAAAAAAGGGAAAAAAAAGAAAAAAAAAAAAAAAAAAACTATTTTATTGTTTTAATAACCACATAACCCACATATTAACACCAAATTTTTATAAACCAAAAGAAGATGCATAACAAAAATTTGTCAATTTTAAACAAAATTAAAAAAAAGACAAAATAGTAAACAAAATCTATGAAATAAGTCATTCATAACGTTGAAATACAGAAGCAACATCATCTTTAAGACGCCTAACAACTCTTTTCCTAACTTCATCTTCTCTTTGACGAACAACATTTTCCAACATTTCAATTTTACGTTGACTATCTTCTAACATTCCAACAGCCTTAACCAATCTTTCTTGATATAAGTTGATAGTTTCCTTAGGATCACTTGATACAGTATTAGGAGGCAATAAAAGTTCGGAATATGAAAAACCAGGATTATTATTATCTTGAGCACCAAGATTGTTATTTGATAAATTATTATTTTGAGAAGACCAAGACCAATTAGCATTTGGAGATTGTGATCTATCTTGTTTTTGTTGACTTCGTTTGTTTGAAAGACGAAAACTATCGAAACCTAAAGAAGAAGGATCAGAATTCTGTTTTCGCCTTGAAGGAGGAACATTTTTATGAGGAGGAGAAGTAGAAGAAGTAACAGATGGAGAGAATTGTTGGGAGGATGAAACATCGCCCGATTGGGTAGGTATAGGACCACCACCAACAGAAATACTTCGCCATCGTATTTGAGTGCCAGGACCACCAGAAGATACTACACGAAAATGACTTGTATCACCAGAATTATGAAGTTTCATTTCTGAGATTTTAGTAGGAGAAGGATTAGGAGTAGGAATATGACCATTTTTTGGTTTACCAAGTTTTGGTAATTTGTCTTGAGAAATGATCTGTAAAAAATAAAATAATAGAATAATAATAATAATAATAATAATAATAAATATTAAGTATAAAAAGTAATAATAAAAAAATTCAAACAAAGTAAATTAAATAAATCAAATTAAAAAATAAGTAAATTCTGAACCTACCTGAACATTATTCTTTTTTCGCTTACCCGAATCATCGATTTGCATAGAGTCAGGAACATCTTCCCAAGCATCTCTTTCATCATCTTCAAGTTCATCTTCTTCCTCTTCACTACCATCAGAATAAGCAACAGCCTTAACACGTTTACCACGATGATTATCTTGAGTACCATCACCATCATATAAATCCAAATCATCATCATCATCAATCATATCATCATTTTGATTATTATTACCAGCATCAATACTACTACCAGTATTACGACGAGTATATTTTCTTTTTTGACGTTTACTACTAGCCCTTTTAATTAATTTTAAAACTAAATCACTATCATCATCATCACCACTACCAGCATCAGCACCCGTTGGATTCTTAAGTGGATCTTCGTAATATTCATTAGATTTTGATAAAATATAGTCGAAAAAAGCATCGATATGAATGGAGCGCATCCATTTCTGTAAATAATATGTGAAATATATAAAAGATGTATAATATTGTAAAATATATATATATATATATAATATAGATGTATGTATATAAAATATGTTTAATATGTAGGAAAATAAATATAAAAATAATGAAAACGAAAATAAATGAAAATAATGAAATGAAAATAAAGTATTGGAAAAAAAGAAAAAGTATATAACAACAGTTATATGAAAACAAATATATACAAATATATGTGTAGATATATATATATGTATATAATAGAGTATATATGTATAACGAAAGTATATATATGTATAACGAAAGTATATATATGTATAACGAAATTATATATATGTATAACGAAATTATATATATGTATAACGAAAGTATATATATGTATAACGAAAGTATATATACGTATAACGAAAGTATATGTATAACAAATATATTTTAAATAATAATATGTAGATATACATGATACATAGTCCTACGATGAAAATATAAATACCTTTAGTCTTACAGCATATTGTTGAATTTTTTGAGGACTTGATTCGTTAGTACGTTCGACACCCAATTGCTGGGCTAATTTAGTCCAAGTTTTTATTTCGCCCGAATGATGTTTAGAGACAAGTTGAAAAAGAACCCAAGTTTCGAAAGTTTTACCATCAGATTTAGGAACGGAATTGAAAGAACGGATGAGAGAAGATACATCCAAATCGGAAGGAGCCGAAGGGTTACAATAAAGAATAAATTCTAGATAACGATCAGCAATATTTGCACGAGTTACGTCTTTTTGAGGTAAACCACGACGAGGAAAATTATTCGGTAAGGAAGAAGAACCGGAAGCCGGTATTATGGGTTGTAACGAACGATTAGAAGTAGCCGATGAAGCGGATGAAGCAGGATTCGAAGCGTTTGGGGATGAGACGGGAATAGAATCTTTCTTGTCAGGCGACGAATCGGGTAAAGTTGAGGTATTTGAAGTAGCATTGGACGTTTTAGGCGCACCTCTTGTTTTTCTAGTAGGTCTATTAGAGGATTGTTTTGGAGTTTTTTGAGATTTTTGAGCAACAGGAGTAGTAGAATTTTGAGGATCGTTTGATGAAGATACAGCAGGTATGGAAGAAGCGGTAGTAACACGTCCATCAGAGAAAAATGATGTAGTCACTTGTGATGGGGAAGAACTTGTACTCGCGCCCACATCGGATTCATTGCGAGTGACATCACACGTATCATCTACAATGGTTGTATCATCGATGGTGTTTTCTTTAGGTGCATCAGAGGAATCTTTATTTAAGGAATTAGGATTTGTATGATTCTGGTCTGTCGGTGAAGGCATTGTTGTTTAGTGACTAATATAAACAAATAAAAGTCGATGAATAAATGATGATATCGATATAAGGAAAAAAAAACGAACGTCAAACAAAAAAAAAAAAAAAGAAATTAATTAAAATTAAAATTAAAATTAAAAAAAATTAAAATAAAATTAAAATGATAATATTTTTTGAGCAAGGAATAAAATGAAACGTTAATCGTTAATTAAAAAAAAAAAATTAAGAATACCGGACGTGTCGTGAAGAGCGCGCTCAAAGAGATAAAAAAGAAAGAAAAAAAAGGGATAGAATAGGGGGTGAGATTTTCACAATAAAAAAAAAAAGGAATCATAATACGATACCTGTTGAATATAAAATAAGACTAATATAATTAACAGGAGACAAAATTTCTCAAAAAAAAAAAAAAAATATAGACAATTCGAAGACTCTAAAGAAGAAAAAATTTATTAAGAAAAAAGAGAAAAAAAAATTTCAAATGTTTAATACATAATAAAAATAAATAAGAAAATAGATAGATATATATATCTATATATATATATATATAATACATACGTAAGGCTGATAAATTAAAAATTATACCAGTTAACAGAAAGGGGAGACACAAGTTTCACACAGAAATACAATAGCAATGATGATACACCGCAGGACTGGTGAAGGCAGAAAAGAACAGATAATTTTTTAGCAGGTAAGGGGATGAAATGATTTACCAATATATAACAGAAAATTAATAGTAAGAAATATGAAAATATAGGTCGATAACTTTTTAGAGAATACTTTTGTTGAAAAAAATGAAAAGAAAAAAAAAAGGGTGAATATACAGAAAGTCGGGAGTTGAAAATAATATAAGGAAAACCGAAATGAGCACTTGAACGTGAAATTAGCCTTTAAAATTATAATAGGTGTTTTTTAATTTCCTAAAATAGTCACATTAGATATATATTAAGACAAAGGCGCTAAAGTGTTGTATTAGGTTCTTTTTATGTTTAAAATGAGATAATAGTTTAAGTAAGATATAGACTACGGTATATAATAATAATAATTTAAGAGCAGACCAGACAGCGAAAATCATTACAATGAATCATTATCGATCACTTATCATTTCTTTCAAATTGATGAAAACTTCGTTCTTGATAACTATTAAAATTTTAAAAATAATATAATTCGATATCGATATAAATAATGTATATAATGTATTTAAAATATATTAATATGTATATAATATATGTATAATATAATATTTATATAAATAAATAAATATATATATAATATGTTTAATATATATTATATATTATATACGTATACATTATATATTATACATTTATATTATATCTTATATATATTATTATATATACACGTATTATATATATTATTTGTTCACGTGTTAATAGTTAAATTATAGTTTCGTTGATCAACAGGTCAAAAAAAAGGCATGGGAAATAAGTCGAAATCCGACAAAAGCTACGATTAACGAAGACAGGAAAACAATGATTATTTTTGATCAGACTATAACCTCGATAGTAAATGATAATCAAGGGAAACGCCAAAACAACAACAAAAAAAAAACGACATTTATAAAATGGTCTTTTGTTTCCATCTCACAATAAAATATACAAAAAAAGATTTAAAGTAATACATTATATAAGCAAATGAACATTATCATGAGTATGTCTAACATTTCAAACATTAAACATTTACTTATTCTCTATTTTCTCATTTTCCAAACACTCTCTATATTCTTATTAACAATAAAATTGATTTTAAGGAGTGTTAAGGAATTACTTGTATTAATTAGTAAGGGTGTTGCAGGTTGGGGACAAGAAAACGACAGGTTGCAACTAGCAATAAGATGATGCAGACAATGCACAATGAGTCCCAACTTGAGTAATAATAATTCTGCTTGTGTTGCGCTACTTGGTCATATGTTTATATTTACTTTTATAGTTCTTCTCCTATTTATAATCAACGCAATATGATGACATCTTCTTTGATCTTCAACCAATTCTTCCTTTTCTAGTCTGTTCATTATTCTTTGTTGTAGGGTCATTGTTCTTTTATTTTATTCGTATATATTTTGTCCTATATTTTCTATACTTTTTTTCAATATACTTATTTATTTTTTGGTGATATGTAATATTTTTATATTTATATACGTATAATTATATTTTATATTTATATAATATCTATATACGTATAATATATTTATATAATATCTATTTACATATATAATATATTTATATATTTATCTATCATACATTTATATCTATCATTACATTTATATCTATCATTCATATCTATCATACATTATGTATCTATCATACTTATATATCCATCATTCATATATCTATTCAAATATATCTATCTATCTTACTTATCTGATACATACGTATATTCTCTTGTAATATATGCAAACAATTTGCTTCGAATCGTTCCTTTTTTGGTATTTGTTTAAGCTCAGCCACTAGCAATGTCTCCCTTTTGTCATTATATGAACTTTATTTATTAGTTGCTAATTTTTACCTTCATCAGCACTATTGACTTCCGCGTTCCTATTGAACATCCTTTTTTGTTCGATTTGCTTGATTTGTTAGCTTTACTTTTATTAGCGATAGTTCTCCGCTTACTATGAAAAAACAATAGTGTAACTGTTTCATCAATTTCTTTAGATAATCATTTAATTGTTATTTATTGTTGTCTCGGTTTGCTAATCTCTATCGCTATAGATATTGTTAATTTTGGCTATTTTAAACTCGTTGAATACGTACGTACCCGTTTAGCTTTTTCTGAATGGATAGTCTACTATATTATCCTGAATACATACGTAATATTTACCTATTACTATCTACGTAAATCTTTATATATTTTACTTTCTTTCGGTATCTACATACCACATACGTATGTACATACCCTACATACGTACATACCTACCTACGTACGTACGTGCGTATGTGCATCTGTTGTATTCATCTGTTCTTATACAATTTGTCATTATTAAATATTAAATACGTATATATTTAGACATTATGTTTTGTATTGTATTTATAAACAAATTTATATAGTAAAATTATGTATATAATATTTTTAATTTTATTATTATTATTATACATATCTCTTACACATACATGTCGTAGTAATTAATTTATAAATAGTTATATTAAATTATTTTTTAAAAACTTTTAATTGTTTTACGTATTAAATGTATTAAATTATATTAGTACGTAATACTATACGTACGTATTAAGATTACACAGTTGTTATATTTTAAAAATTATTAATTTAATTAAATTTTAGAAAAATATTTATAATATACGTAGTATTTTAAAATAGACTATTTAAACTAATCAATTTTTTAATATATTTAATTTTGCTTTTTAGCTTTACTAAATCATACCGGTGGTGCTTAACACCATAGTTGCTATATTTCAAACCTGAATTAGTTAACATATCGATATGTAAAAAGTACTAAGCAAAAATGGTCATCAATGTTTTTAAAAACTTTGCTCTACCAAAAATTTAAACCTATGTCTTTATTAAAATATATAGACAGTCTAACCTTGATATATATAATCACGGAGTTGATGATTAAGGTGATAGTGTTTATATAAAGGTTAATTTCTTATGTTTTACAATTATTAATAAATTAAAAAAATGTAATTTTTATATAATTTGTAACTATATATATCAAAAGTAATTATATTAAAGTTAAATTATATCAAAAGTAATTATATTAAAGTTAAACTATATAATGTTGAACATTATTTTGTATAATTTATATCATTATTAATTTTATAAATAAATAATTAAAAACATATATTTAATATATAATATAAAAAATTTTATTTAAGATGTAGTAACTTAGTGAAGTAAATAAATTATCAATTTTTCAAATGGAAGATTAGATGTTCAAATCTTATTAACAATAAAAACTTAAATAATCATCTATATAATACTTGTATTATAACAATTATTTCTAATAATTGAATTGAAATATTTATAATAATAATCATAGTAGTATAATTGACAGATTATGGAATATTTGTGTAACTGATTATATGTAGAAATGTAAATTAATATCAAGTAATGTAAACTCTAGATAAGTTCTTGTGATAGTATAAATTTGTTAAAATTAAGAAAAAAAAATTCATTTAAAAAAATTTAAATAAAAAGATAATACAGATTTTTAACAATATTACTATAAAGAAAATTTACTAAAAACAGATATCAATATTAAAGTACTCAAATAAGTAAAAACCTCCAAATAAGAGTATCACCAACCAGATCACCAAAATGAATTAAAAAAAAATATCAAATTAACTTAATATACTAATAAACTAATCATAATCTTATATAAATTATTTAAATTGAAAGTCTAAAGAACAAACAAAAATATACTAAAATATATATTAGAAATATGTTGTAAAATAGATGCTAAAATTTGAATAACCTCTACAAGAACATAACAATTTAATGACTAATCTTGATTACAAGTATTAATATTATTATAGTAATATCAGATTAATTGTAAAAATAATTACAAAAGGCTTCAATAAATTTATCTTAAAAATAAAATAAACCTAAGATTAAAGTTTAAAAGGTTTAAAATAAAACACTTAAGCAGAAGTATTAGATATAACAATTAGTAAAAAAATCTTTAATCAAATTCTTTAAATAAATAATATAAAAAAATTATATATATAATCAATTATATATTCTTTTTGTAATAATTTATAAAATTATATTATTAAAAAAATTATTAATAAAAGTTAAAAGACTAAAAAAATTATCTTAAAAAAAATTTATTTATATTTAATAAATATTAATATAAAAAAATTAAAAATTATTAATATTTAAAAAGTTTATATATAAATATTTTAAATAAAAATATTTAATATTTAATTATATATTAAAGTAGTTATGTTATTAATTTTCAAATAGTAGATTTAAAATTCAAATTCTAGTATTGATAAAATTTGAAATTTTTTTTATATTATAATTAATTATCTTTTAT